CCCCTCTGAGCTATTTTAATGAAGACAGTTTTGATTTCTTTCAAGGGTAACAAGAAGCTACTTGCTTTTTTTTTTTTTTTTTTTTAAAAGACAGGGGCTCAGTATGTAATTCAGTCTGGCCTTGAACTTGTATCTCCTAAATGTAAATCATTTTAAAAACAGTCACAGCAACATAAATTAAGTTTTATACTTCACTGTTATTTTACATTCTGTCTCCCTCCTCCCCTCCCATGTGTGTGCACAGGTGTCTAGCTTTTATCTACATATTACGTTTAACATGCTCAACATTAGAGGATTGCTAAAACATTACTTCTTTGGCTGATAATTTTAACAGGAGCAGCAATCATCTCAAGAACCAAAAAAAAAAAAAATTGATCATTTGACATGTCCTTGAGATAGTATAGTACTAGTTTCTCGGCAAGAATGACACTTCACTCTCTCCTAACATAAATTTCTTTGAAGAAAACCCTTTGAAATCTGTCTCTGTGACATTTCTTTAAATTAGAGAACAGTTTAGATTCTGACTTCTCTAGTTAGCTTATTTTATGTATTAGCTTCTTACTCAAAGGCCTAAGTCAGTGACAACTTGCCTAATGTAACAACAGCTTCTACTTGAATTAAATCCTTTATTTGAAGAATTTGAGGCCAGTAAAATTTTCTTGCTTTGAGGCCTCACTCAATTACTGATAGATTTTTCTAAAAGAATGCTTAACAAAAATCCTTCGCATTATAATAGAGAGGTAGTACTACCCCAAAGCATAGGCGCTGGAGCTTGCTTGACTTGATTTAAATCTTGAGTTCATTATAAACTAGTATGATTTCTCAGGTAAATTATTTATTCTCAGAGACTCTGGTTCCTCATCCATAGAATGAGAATAGTAATAGTAGTCATCTTACAGAGGTAAATACTTGTTTTGAATCCTATTTCTGCCATTTATTATTTGTATGACCTTGGGAAAAAAAATCACCAGAGCTATAGTTTCCTGACCTGAATGATAATGACTACCTCACAGGATTATGAGGATAATAATGACAAGCTCATAGGATCAAGGTAAGAATAAAGAGATGAGGTAACAAAAAATACCGATCTCCAACACTTATTAAGTCCTCAGTAAACAGAAGGCATTAGGCCCCTGTCCTATGATTTCTGCATGAAGACATGGTGGTAACAGATTTAAAACCTAGAAAACTACTGTTATTGTAATTAAATTCACATATCTAGAAAGGGTCCTGTGTGATATTTCTGTATCTCTCTACTCTGAATCATACTTCAGAAACACACAAAGGCTGAGTGTGGTCATGCACCCTGGTAATCCCAGCACTTTGGAGCCTAAGGCAGGGCTGTCTTGAATTCACAAGCCTAAACTACATAGCGAGATGCTGTCTCAAAAACCAAACAAAAACAAAAAAAAACCCCCAAACAAAACAAAAACAAAATATGCAACATTCGCTGGATACACACTTGAGTGCTACTGACCTAGTAAAACCTGTTATACTTCAAGTGTAAAGTGTTTCTTCAACAAATAAAATGGTTTAATACAACAGAAACTGTTCAGTGTAAATCAATTAGCACACAGGAAGCAGCAAGAACACTATGAAATACCAATGGTAATTACTTATATGCCAGAACTGACATATAAAGAACATCAAGAGGTCCTAGAAAGTTTTGTAAACTGGGTTAATGCATCAAAATACAGATCCCATTTAAAAGGTTAATGTCTGATAAGACACAAGGGGGATGGGGTGTCAAGGCATGTAATGGAGGCATACATATGATTACAGTATATGCATTGAGCCCCACCTGAATGTAAAATTAGGGGCCAGGTGGATGGGGGAGGGAAGAATGATTAAAGTATGTGATATGCAAATCTGCCGAAGTGGAACTCACTGACCTATGTAACTGTTTCAGTTCATATTTAGATGTCTCTCCAGCAGCCTCATGTGCTCATCAGTGGGGCCCTTCCAAGGGGACTGGCCCATGGGGGCGCTACAGCTAAACGGGATGTCAGGAGGTGGGGCTACTCTGAAGAAACGGATCAGAGACCTGGTAGGGTATATTGCGTTGCTCTCCCTGGTTCCTCCCTTCTCTCTCTTCTTCCTGCTGTCATGACATGAGCAGCTTTGCTCTGCCCAGGCCTCTCCACCATGCCTTCCTGTCTGGGCACTGGCCAACTGTGGACTAAGACTGTGAGCCGAAATAAACCTCTCCTCCTTTCAGTTCTAGGTGTTAGATATTCTGTCCTGGTGACGAGGTCAATGACTTGAGACAATAACCAACATACAGTAATAAAAAAAGATGTGAAAAAAATTAATGCCTGCTTACTGGTTTCTTACAGTGAAAAGCAAGATTGCTAGCTTCTGCTCTATGGTTCCACAACACAAATTTGCTCAAAATGTAACATGTGGTAAGTTTATTGGGATAATCAATTTTAAACTAAGGGGGTATTTTTTGTATAATGTTTAGTGTAAACTTGAACATATCCTATCTCTAGGTGCAAACAGATTTATTTACATTATGCTTTAAGGAATAATCAGAAAATGTAAAATATGTGTCTAAAACAGTCTAGTCACTTCCTACTTACAATAGCATGTTTTTTTTGCTGTTGTTTTGTTTTTTGAGACAGGGTCTTTCTATGTAATTCAGGCTGGCCTTGAACTCACTATGTAGCCCAGGATGGCCTCAAACTCATGGTGATCCTTCTGTCTCAGCCTCCCAAGTGCTGGGATTACAGGCATGCACCACCACACCCAATCACAATAGCATTTTCTAAATACTGAATGTAAACATCAGTTTTAATAAAGGACCGTTTCTGGTACAATGTTTAACATAAACTTGAAAATACACATTCTTAGGTACAGAATAATTGATTTATATTTGAAGAAGATAAAATCATGAAATTTAAGATGTGATCACCCTTCGAGTGAAAATAATTGCTAATTTCCCACTTACAACATTTAATATTTTTCAAACACAGAATTGATTTTTCAAATATCTTGGGACTTATGGTGATGAGAGACGAATTAAGATGTGACCAAGTAGAGAAGCTCATTCTCTGTGATGGTCTTCGCATTTATCACCATGCAAATCTTACACATCTATTGTTCTTTTTCCAGTATGCAAACACGGACTACCTAAAATAGAGACTGTATCTCTTGTGTCCACGCATTTGTCTTCAGTTCTGGATTACTAGCGCTGCAGAAATGTATTTTAAGTGAACGACTGAATGACTGTGATGGTGGAAGCACTTCAGCATCGGCGTTTTCCTATGATACTTATCCTGTTTTAAAATAGAGGGTGGAGACCATTTTCACAGGAAATATTTTTTAAAAAGCAGACATGTCTCATTTTTTCCCTTGGGTTTTTTTTTTTTTTTTTTGAGACAAGGTCTTGTTATACAGATCAGGCTGGTGTTGAACTCACTATGCAGCCCATCCAGGCTGGCCTCCAACTCATGCAATCCTCTTGCCTCCTGAGTGCTGGGATTACAGGCATGCGCCACCAAGCCAGCTCATAAATGTCTTTTAAAGTTACAATGAGTTAGCAATGAATATGAGGGGAATATCAGACTACTTCCAGAAGTCCATTTAATGATTAATGTGTTACTACTCAGTGCGGGTAATAATGTAGTTGGGGGAAACAGTAGCTACAGTCTTACCTAAACTGGCCTTCTTTGAAGAAAATAGAACCTTACAATATTATATAGCATCTGTAAAATTTCAGAAAAGCAGCAGGTACAAGAAGCTGAAGATAGAATTTCTGTAATATTTATATAAGAAGTTACAACCCTACATCTTCATCCTCATACTTTGCAGCGAGGTGATCATCTCCCCAAAACTTACAGGAAAGAACATTTTATTTACTAGAGAAACTAAAGAGAATCTGGGCTTATGGACACCAAACATACAGCAAACATACAGCAAGGCACCAAACATACAGATCAGGTATAGACCTGAAAACAAGGAACAAAGGGCCTCAGCAAAAGTCTGTATAATGAATGGTAAACCCTAGCTTTCTCTGTTCAGCTCCAGAATGCCGGCACTCAACATTTATACTCTCCAGGCAAGAGACTGGAGGATTCTTTGCGAGAGAATATGAACAGGAAAAGAAAAAAGCTAATGGATACTAACTTTGGAATATTTCCAATAAAGGAAGGATCATCTTAATGCTAACAACACACATAAACTTTGAATTGGTTTTTCAGTGCCTAGCCATTAAGGAGAAGAGAATTCATTGCACGTATAAAACAAGAACAGGATGCTAAAAAAGAAGGGGACAACTGTAGAAAAAAGGAAAAGCTACTGAAAGTTAAAATTATGACAGGCAAAAAATTACTGTAGAAGGATTAGAAGGTAATGCTTAAACTTTTTAATAAAAGGATTATAAGGTAATGTTGAAAAAATCTATAAAAGATGAGTTAGAAGAAGAATTTCAGAAACTACAGTATGGAAAACAGGACAGAAAAGTTAAAAAAATTAACATATTTTTTGAAGTCTAATTCTTCATTACTAGGAGTTATACAGAGAACAGAGAAAATTATCAAGAAATAATACAAAAGCATTTCCCAAGATTAAAGCATTTCCAAGGGCCCTTTATATACCAATATAATAAGTGGAAAAAAAATCCCAAAACAATGCAATAAAAAGGAGGTCCTAAAAGTTCTGGAGAAGAAAATTCTTATTCAAAATCTTTTGTGTACATGTGGAGAATCAGATGTTTATTTTTTGGTAATGAGAATTGAACTCAGGACCTTGCACTTGCCAGGCAGGTGCTTAGGGTAAAAGGTAAGTGGTATGCTTGGGCTATACCAGACATTTAACAGAGATACTGGATGCTTAAGACAAAAGAGTAATGCTGAAAAAAAGAGCAATTCTGAGAGCAAATGATTTTGAACTTGGAATGATACTATGTCAATCAAATAGTAAAGTATAAGCATAGAATAAAGAGATGTTTTTAAATGTTAAATCTCAAAAAACTTATGTCCTATTTATCTTTTTTTCAGAAGCTACCGGAGGATGTGCTCCACCAATAACGAATAAAATCAAGAAAGATGACCTGGGATCACACACAGAAGAGAAATGATAGAAATGTTAGGGTAAAAGGTAAGTGGTATGCCTTAGGAGTGTCCTGGGTCCAGATCAAGCCCTTTATGAAGGCTCTAGGATGAATTTTATCTAGTGAAAAGAAAAAGTAATTGGTAAGTATGGAAAGTGGCATTTCATAAAGCTATATTAAGGGTTATGGAATGACTTAGCCAAAGGTTTGAAGAAAGATAAGCACATTTTAAAGTGAGGTATTTTATATAAATGCCAGGAAAAGGATATTTGTTCAAGAAGGAAATCTTGTTTTTGGCTCAAGAGTGAAGCATGATCACACGGCATTAATACTAAAAATTCAATATTAGGGATTCAGCCAAATATCATGATATAACTATTGGGATGATGGCAGGAGGCAGGTGTGAGAGCTATACTTATTTATAATAAAAAGCAACAGATAATACGCAAATGAGTAAGGAATATTATAGCAGCATATGAAAATGGGTTGGGTAGAGGAAGTAAATTGCTGGTTTTGAATATTACTTCATTTTTTTACGTGCACGTTACCCTGAGAAAAAAAGGGACATTTCAATACAAACAAAAAATATTATGGATAGTATAATACAACAGAAAGAGTTTTGAACTAGGAATAGAAATTGAAAAATACTGAGTACTTATACTGTGATGTTGGGTAAACCATGTAACTTCTTTGAGCCCCAACTTCCTTATCTACTCATTAGGACTTTATTTCTAAGTCTTTCCAACTCCAAGGTTCTGATCCTCTATAGTGAAGTGTAGTTAAAACTAAAACCACAACAGCTGAAACTCTTATCCATGTTCATGGTGTATCTTTACATATTTTTGTTCACTTTGCCACAGGTCTCTCCCCATGTGCCTCGATGTCAGAATGGAACGGGCACGTCCCCGGCGGGGGTCCTACTGTACCTGCGAGGCCAGTCTCCGCATAGCCTCCTCCTGCCGCCTGCGCATCTCTGGGGTTCCCGGGCAGCTCCCACTGGTGATGGACGAGTGGGCTGCAGGGGGCTGTGTGAGTGGCAGCTCTCTGCTGGCATCTACATCTGGATTAAAAAGATGAAACGTCTGTATCAGATAATCATAAAACTAAATTAAAGGAAGGCTAGTTAAATTCCATTTGTTGTATGGCCCAGCAATTCAATTCCCAGATATACATCCAAGAAAAACAAAAACACACGTCCACAGAAAAAACAGCCAAAATGAGATACATGTCCAGCAGCCGATGAACAGAGAAACTGTGCTATATCCATACAATCAACTACTGCTTGATGTGGTAGTGAACAAGAAATGCGACACTGTCACATGCTACCCCACAGATGGCTCCTGAGAATTATACGCCCAACCAAAGAAGTCAGTCAGAAAGACCACATAACTGAGTGTGGCAGCACGTGCTTGTAGTCTCTGCGCTCTTGGACGCTAAGGCAGGGGGATCGCCAAGTTCAAGCCCAGCATGGACAACTTAGGGACACTGCTAGATCCTGTTTCAAAAAAGGCTAGGCATGGGGGATGTAGCTCGGTGTGAATGCACGGAGTTCAAGCTCCAGCACTGGGCAGGGTGCGGAGGACAATGACACACAGTATACAATTCTATTTATATGAAATGCCCAGAATAGGGAATTCTATAGAGACAGAAAGTCAATTAGGGGTTTCCTAAGGCTTGAGGTAGTGGATTACAAAGAAAATAGGGATGTACCTAGTAGGAAGCATGGGTTTCTTTTAGTGGAATAAAAATGTTTTAAAATTAGATGACAACTGCTATACAGCCTGCGAATATACTAAAAATACTGAATTGAACCATTTATTTATTTATTTATTTATTGTTTTTTGAGACAGGGTCTTGCTATGTAGTGCAGGCTGGACTTAAACTCACTATGTAGTCCAGGCTGGCCCCACATTTGTGGCAATCCTCCTGCCTCAGCCTCCTGAGTGCTGAGATTACAGGTGAGTGCCACCATGCCTTTAAACACTTTAAATGGATACTTTAAATGAACAAGCTGTATGGGTTGTGTATTATGGCTCCATAAGACTTTTTAAATTTAATTTTTAAAGAGGAAGGTCTTTCTATGGTATCCAGGCTGGCCTTGAATCTATGATCTTTCTGCCTCAGCCTCCTGAACAGGTGAAATTATACATATGTACCACCATGTCTGGCTGGCTCTGTAATATTTAAAAATGGCTCCATAATATTTTAAAAATTAAATTTATTCCTGGTATTTAGAAAATGTTTTCTTGTGGTACACACCTGTAATCCCAGCACTCGGGAGGCTGAGGCAGGAGGATCACTGAGAATCTGAGGCCAGCCTGGGCCACAAAGTGAGTTTAAGACTAGCCTGAATTACATAGTGAGACCCTGTCTCAAAAAAAAAAAAAAAAAAAAAAAAAAAAGAGAGAGAGAAATGTTTTCTTACCTACTGCTAAAATTATAGACTACATTTAGGAGTAAGGTCATATTTAAAAACAGGCACTAAAATAAATATTTATGATTATTTGATGACAGCTACTGAAAAGAAGGAATACAGAAAGGCAGCCTTCATTCACTCCCTCCTGCTAAGAGTGAATTTACAGTCTACCATACTACGGGATAGAGTTCTCAATAACTGCAGGACGGTGGGTACGGGAGACAGCAGGGACACAAGTCTGAAGAAGTGGATGACATGTTGAGTTGAGGTTAAGTTCCGTGATTTGTCTGTCACTGTATTACTGCTGATGCTCATTTCTGTCCTGTGACTCCATTCCCTGTTGTCTGGAATCTGATTTTGTAATTGCTGTCCAAATACTCTTTCAGATATTCCCTTTTGGAGATGCCCTCTTTTTTCACCCAAGTGTTTTACTTTCTATTTGGTACGCAGTGAACAATAGAAGTAACAGTAATAGGTAGGTGGTAGCGTGCAGAGCAAACTGGCCAACGGACTTCTGTCTGAAATGAGCAGAGTAGGCAAAGTATAGCAGCTGTTTTGGGGCTTGACAGCTGTTAACAAATATCAAATCCAAATAACTACACTGGGTCTCATTTTAGTGGTAGGAAAATATAGTCTTGTATTAGACAGAACTTCCCTAACCACTATACTGAGTAAAGCTACAGTTATTGCAATAATGTCTGAATTACACAATGGGTCTATTTTCAAAAAATGTTTTTGCTCTTTGTGTGTGTGTGGGGGGAGGGGTTTGGGGGTAGGTGGGTAATGGTGCACGGAATGATGCGGGGCTCAGATTTGGAAAAGTAGGCAGGAAGCATGATAACCGACTAGTGCCTTCCTGACACCTTTTCTGCACCTCCCCAGGAAAAGGACAAGGAGGGGCAGGCTAGGGGAGGTGTCTATGAAGGGAGGAGGAACAGGCAGTGAAGCACTGCAGGCCTAACTGTTCACATCACCTAGAGCGGTGCTGTTTAGTGTGGAGGAGGCAGAAGAAAGAATAACAGACAATGCACAGACAGATAAACCAAAAACTCCGTAACTTCCTGCTTATTTTCATTATTACTGCAATTACATAATTGGTATCAGTCACAAAGAATTAGGAAAACTATCCAAGTTTAATGCAAGCTAAACTCTAAAAACTTAAGCCAACCTTCTGACATCATTCTTACTCATTTATGAAAAAAATTTTTCTGCTGCATCTAACACTTTTAGTGCTAGTTCAAATAATAACAGATATAAGTTGAAAAATAGCTTGCGTTCGTGATTCTTTAAGGACTACTGTTTCTGTTAAGATGCAGTGGTAGAATGTAGTTTAAACAGCAGCTTGCCACAAAAGTCGTTTTGTAAAAGGCAACTCTGGTTGTGTGTAATTCTGATAGATCTATCACAACAGATTCTATCTCCCTTCACTCCTTTTCAGGTTTTGAAAATTAACTATCTGGCTGAATCTATAGTCTTAACAACAGAGGTTTATCTCATGAATGGGGGAGTACTCCAATGCTTTGATATTCCTGGGAGACAAAAGGCAATAGGTGTTAGAGGATAATTTAATGAACTACTTTAAAAGAATCTCTTTGGAGCCAGGTGTGGTAGTATATGCCAGTAATCCCAGTGTTTAGGAAGCTGAGACAGGACGACCAGCAAATTTGAGGCCAGCCTTAACTACAGAGCAAGATCTAATCTCAAAAAAACAGAAAAGAAAAATTTCTTTGGAGAGCACATGGACTATTTTCTTTCTAACTCTTGCTCACCCAGGCTTGTGGGGCACACAGAAACCCTTGCTTTCTGAGAAAGCAGTCTTTGCTCCTGGCTGGGATTTATCTCATCATCTATGGTTCCATCACTCTGCTGTCTGCAACAGTGATACACAAAGGAGTCACAGAGACTATTAGCTATCTGCTTTTCTTTTGGACAACCTCAAACAGCTCCTCTCTTAGACTAGGGATGAATAGTTTAGTGTGACAGATATTTAAGCACTCAAAGGAAAACACTAGAACAGGTGTCTTTTCAACCATAAAGAGATATTCTTAGAATAAAAAATTGGCATAGAAGTTTTATTATTATTACTACTACTACTACTACCACTACTATACCAAAGATTGAATCCAGGACCTTTACATTGAGCTACACCCTCATACTGGGCTCCTCCCTTTTTATTTTTTAATTTGAAACAGAGCCTGCTAGGTCACTAAATTGTCTAACTTGGGCTTAAAATTGCAATCCTCCTTGTCTCTGCCTCCCAGAGCTCAGGGATTACAGGAGTGTGTCACCACACCTAGCTAGAAGCCAGTTTTAAATATCAACTAGTCATACTGCTAAAGAAAGCTGAGACCTAGAGAATAAAGTAAGATTCTCAAGGTCACAAGGCAGTGCAGCCAGTGTGAGTGCTGGGCACAAACCCTGGGTCCTAGGTTCTAGAGCACTTTGTCAGTGTGCCTGAGAAGGGGTCCATTTAAGATGTAAGCATGACATTCTCCTGTAAGAATTCTTCTATGTATTTTGATTCAATCAGCTCTCTTCTTAGAAGCTAGTTCTTTTTCTAAAGTTAGATATCCATGAGTTTACCAGAGACAATCTGCCTACTTGATATTAATTTCAAAAGGAAGGAAGATAACTGTAAGGTATCTTTTATGATCTCACACAAACCAATTCTAGTGGTTGTTATCTGAGTATGTGTGGTAGGCAAAATTACCGATTTGTCACTAGTCATATTATGTTATGCTATGCTACATTATGCTACACTATGCTAGGCTACACTACACTAGAAAGCTACTATAGTAAATAGCTTTCTTTTTTGTTCTCTTATAACTGATAAGAAACAAGGGAGACTGATACTGTGTGTATGCTGTGCATAGAAAGGACATTTTTTTTTCTTTTGGTTTTGAGACAGGGTTTCACTATGCAGTTCAGGCTGGCCTTGAACTCACTATGTGGCCCAGGCTGGCCTCAAATTCATGGCTATCTTCCTGCCTCAGCCTCCCAAGTGCTGGAATTATAGGCATGCACCACCACATCTGGGTTATCTTCTTTATTTGAGTGAGTTTCACTAGTAAGGAGAGGCAGAATAGAAAAGTGAGTAAGAGCATGGCTTCTGAAACCAGACTGCTCATGTTTCAATTTACTGCCCTTAAAACCTGGTAGTCTTTCTTAACCTCTCTGAGCTTCGGATTCTTAGCTGTTAAATGAAGACAACAAGGACTACTTCACTGAATTGATAACCATGGGTGAATTAATACTTGTTTTTTTTTGTTTGTTTTTGTTTTTGTTTTGTTTTGTTTTCTGGTGCCGGGGATTGAACTCACGACCTTGCACTTGCCGGGCAGGAGCTGTGCCGCTGAGCTAAATTCCCAGCCCCTGAATTAATATTTGTAAAGTACTTACAGACTGTCAGGCACATAGTAAGTATTATATGAGTGTTTTAAAAATAAACAATATCCTAGTGGTGATCATTAAGTTGTGATGAAGAAGTCTGAATATATGTGGTAAGAGAACTTAAACATCTCCCCACAAGGAAGCAAGCAAAACCCAAGGACATAATGAAGCTCAAGTCCAAGCAGCATAGCACTGACATCAGCAGCAAGGACGTGAAGGTTGCAAACAGACCGTGCTGGCATGTAACAAGAAGAAATGGGCACAGGCTGAATAAAATCTGACAGTGATGAAAGCAAATGGTTCTACAGGCAAGTTCTGTAGTCGTTATTCAAAGGACAGACCAACCATACAGACACAGGGGAGAGTCATAAATTTATTCCACGATGAAGTTTTTTTTCAGTCCTATTTAGGTAACTGTTGAATATGTGGGTTAGATGTACAGAGTATTACACTCTTTCCTGTAACTCTGAATTTTTTTTGTTTGTTTGTTTTGTGTTTCTTCCGGTACCAAGAATCGAACTCACGACCTTGCACTTGCCAGGCAGGCGCTTTGCCACTGAGCTAAATCCCCAGCCCCTGTAACTCTGAATTAATGGTCCTCACATGCAAGTCAAGTTTCATAAATCAAAAAATAAAAGGATATATAACTAAATATAAATATGTTAGAAAAAATTTCAGTGCCAAAGAACCAAGAAGTTCCTTAAAAATGAATACGTACGTTTCGGGGAGGCGTGTGGACTGTCTGAGGCGATCTGTCTCATCCGTGTACCATGGCAGCTAAGGGCCACCAGTCTTGAGATGATGGCAGTTTTTCCGAACCCAATATTTCCCACAATCACCACTCCCTGGTTCACACTGGCATCTGAGCTTTGAAGCTGAGCATCTACTTCGTGGAAAACCCAGTCCCGACCGACGAACACGGACTCTGCAGTGATGCTGGGCACTTCAAAGAGCAAGGGCTTCAGGGAGATGTCTGGAGGCCTGTACGGCGCGAAGCGAACTGAAAGGGACAACGAAAGAGTGAAGAACTTCGGTCAAACTGTCAACACTGAGAGAAACAAAAAAAGAACTGTGGTTTAAAAGTCTACTAGAGGTACGATGTGATAAGATTTTGGGTTTTTTGTTTGCTTGTTTGTTTGAGACAGGGTCTCACTATGCAGTTCAGGCTGGCCTTGAGCTCACTTTGTAGCCCAGGCTGGTCTCGAACTCACAACTATCCTCCTGCCTCAGCCTCCCGAGTGCTGGGATTACAGGCATGCGCCACCATGCCCAGCTTGATATTTTGGGCTTATTCAGAAAATAATAAAGCTCTGAATGTTGGTTTTACATAAATAAATAATATAGGTGTGCTAGATACATGTGATAATTCAGATGGCAGAATGTAAACACTGATCAAACAGTAACGATTTACAACAGTCAAAATTAGGACAATATAAAGGACAATTAAAAATTATTAAAGAATAGTATCTGATGCTGGGAAAAAAAACCCCAAAAACCAAAAACCAAAAAAAAATTTTTAAAAACAGGTGGAGGCAATGGAGGAAAAAAGAATTAAGATGTGTTATGTTCATGTACCAGTTCTCTGCAATGAATGTAATTATTATGTACTGCAAACATGTACTAATAAAGATTTTAAAAAGTCATATTGGGTCAGCGCCCCCCCCTAAAAAAATAGGCTGACAGGAGCGCCTTGCCCTTTCCAGCACGTGTGCACAAAGGGAGCAGGGGGCGCCATTTGTGAGGAATGAGCCCTCTCTAGGTGTCAAATCCGTAGCACTCTGATCCTGAACTTTCCAGCTTCTGGGACTGTGAGAAATAAATTTCAATTATTTATATATGTAAAAAAGGAACAGAAATGGCCCCTGTGCCAGCAACCAGTACAGATCCAAGTGTAGTTCTAAAGGCCTCTTGCTATGTCTGGGAATAAAATTTTAATTATTGGGCTGTCGGGTGGTACAGATATAGAGTTCCTGGGATGAGGGTAAGCTATGGTGGTGTATTTAGACAGCTTAAGAAAGCAGCTCCTTACCTGCCAGTAAGGATGAATTTCAATATTTAATAACCAGTATGGGTGTACCAGTACATATCAGTTCTATAGAAAGCAATATAAAGTACATATGCTTGTTTATTTAAACACACTAATGAGCAAGAACAGTAGTAATTCCTTTCAGTTCATGACAGTGTCTTGTTTTTTGGGCAAATACATGTATTATTAGTGGAAGCAAAGCCCCTAACAGCTCTGAGGATTTAAAAGGTCTTAAGCAGAAACAAAATTTTCATCCAGTGTCACTGTACCTGTACTGCTTGCATTCATGCTGATTTTAAAGAATGATTTTTGGCTTTATACACATCTTGGGTATAGACTGTATGGCTTTTTTAAAACATTTTTTTCTGTTCTTATATAATTATAGGATGTACTATGGGCAAAGCATGAGCTACACTTCTAACAGTTCTCTAAAACTGCATATTAGATGTGATCTGGTTTTAAACATCAACCTTTCAATTATGTTAACAGTAAAAGGAAGTCTTACCCAACCACCTTTATCTGGGTTAACCTAAGTGCTCGCCTAACTGTACCTACAGTACTTTTAAAATATATAATTTATCTGTCTGAAACCAGGTATTTCATTTCTGAATCATTAACCTCTCCATAATTTCTTGACATATAGCAGCCACTCAAATACTTATGGAAAGAATTAAAAAGAAGTTACTATACTCTAATCCTATTTGATATTTTAGAGCACGAGAAAGGGCAAAGGAGATAGGTAGAGTAGAAAGGGAAATCATAAAGAGAAAAATAACATCTAATTATACTGGTTATATTAGTCTAGAACATACTTAAACCAATTACACATCATAAAATGGGATCTAAAGCTGGTAGCTTATCTAAGAAAACAAACACACACGTATACATGTAAGTATACACTCATTTAAAACTGTCTGAAAGCCATTAGAATTATAACTGTTCATTTAAGGATGGATAAAAATTCCCAATATAGTGCAAATAACTAAAAATATAAAGCCAAATTCTGAAAACTGAAGTCAACACTTTCCTGTATCAGTCTTAAAATGCATCAATTTTTTTTTTATTAAAAAGGACATGCGCTGTAGAGGCACAGCTATGTTATCACTTATAATTTCTTGAATCGTATCTCTTTAGCAAAATGTACTCTTTAAAAACTTGCAACTTCTTCCGGTGTCATGGTGCAGAAGTGTGAGGCCTGAGCACATTGCTCTGAGCACCCCCAGCTTGCCAGGACACCTCTGTGACTTCTACCAGCTGCACGCCGCATGAGAAGGACTCTGTGAGACCCTGGAGCCAGGGATGGGATGGAATGGAATCAGGAGGAAGTCTGAAAGGAAGTGGTCAGAGCCAGCTGCAGGGAACCGCAGCCTCCCTGCTTAGCTCCACACCCTGAGAATCTCTTGGTCTTTGGACAGCAGTGCCAGCGAGTAGTGTGTGAGTCTGTGCTCTGCCCTTCCTGCAGTGTTCCCGGGCCAGCTGGGCCTACGAGTGTAGTGTAAGTCTGTACTCCAAGATGGTAAGGACAGCAAGTAGAGTGTTGAGTCCACGCTGTGTGTTTCCTCCATTGCCCTGGGATGGTGGTGCTGGCAAGTAGTATAAGTCAGCACTCTGCCCTTCCTCCATTATCCCTGGGATGGTGGTGCCAATGAAAGGAGTTGAGGAGTGTAGGTCCGTGCTCTGCATTTCCTCTGTTGGCCCAGGAAGGTGGTGTTCAGGAATGGAGTGTAGGTCTGTAAGCTACCAGCTCTCTGCTTCCTCCATTGCCCTGGGATGGCTTGCTGATGAGAGAAGTATGGTCATGCAGGCAGGAGATGCACAGCAGTTCTGGCAAGAGGAGTGATGATGGCAGTACCGGCTAGAGGAGACATCCTAGGAAAGCCTCCACATCAGGGATAAGGCTATCTAACATAAGAAATCTAAAAGCATCAATACAGAAAACAAAATACAATAGAAAATGATAAGACGAAAAACAAAGTGCAATTCCAAAAGCCCAGCCTATCCAGTACAGGTCCAGAACACAAAGATATAGAGGACATCAAAGGGCAATAAATGGAACTCCCTGAAATGACAGCAGCTGAAGTGAAAAAAACAAATGGAAGAGGCCATAGAAAAAATAATCTCTAAGGTGCAAAAAGAAATGACTATCAAAATAAAAGACATTAAAACAGACACAGATAAACAAATAGAGGGACTCAGGAAAGTGATGGAAACCATGAATGCCATACATAGACAAGATTTTTTTCTGTACCGGGAATCAAACTTGGAACTTTGTGCTTGCCAGGCAGGCACAGTTCTGCTGAGCTATATTCCTGGCTCCAAACATAGACAAGAAATGGAATCAATGAAACATATCCAAACAGAAATGCAGGAGATTAGAAACTCAATTGAAAGTATATACAGCAGACTGAAAGAAGGCGAGGACAGAATATCCAATCTAGAAGACAGGAATGCAACTAGCGACCATGAAAAGAAAGATACCTTTAAATTTTCAAGAGACAATGAAAAATCAGTCCAACAGCTGCACGATGAAGTGAAGAACAACATAAGATTGATTGGCATCAGTGAGAAAGCTGGAGACAGTACAAAAGCCATTACAAAACTCTTCACAGAAATAATGGCAGAAAACTTCCTAAACATGGATAAAGAATTTGACATACAAATAAATGAAGCATACACAATGCCAAATAGCAATGACCAAAATAAATCTACACCAAGGCATATAATCAAAATTCCAGAAATCCAGCACAATGAAATATTGAAAGCAGCTAGAGAAAAGAAACGTATCACCTATAAGCCCATCAGAATCACAGCAGACTTCTCAACACAAACCCTGAAATTAGGAAGAGTTTGGAGTGAAGTATTTTAAGCCCTAAAGGAAAAGAATCTTCAACCCAGATTGATGTGCCCCATAAAATTATCTTTTTTTTATTTTAAGAAATAAAAGATGGAAAACATTAACAAACAGACATCCATTTACAAAATAGCATAAGAACAATACAAACAAAACAATTACAGACAAAGTTTTAGGAAATTAACAATAGTTGTGCTATTACTTATTGATATCTTCAAAGTGGTTTCTCAAGAAAACAAATACAGACATAAAAGATTGACCAAACAAGTAATCATTAACTGTTCCTTTCTGCAGAGCAATATAAGACAGTAGTACAACTATGTTAGCTATCCTGAATATACATACTTACATAATTTTCCCTTCTTTCCCTTCTCTTTTCCCACACCCCACCTGCCCTTTATTTTGAGCATTTTCCTTTTGTTTCATAATGTTTACCATACCTCCTAGTTTTTATTCACTCTTTCAGGTCTTACACTAGTGAGACAATACAATTCTTACACATGCAGGTCTGATTTATTTCACTTATGAGTATGGTCTCTACTTGTGACCATTTACCTATAAATGCCTCGAGTTTATCTTTCTTTATAGCTGAGTAATATTCCATTATATAAAAGTATCACAATTTTTTTATCCATTCCTCAGTGGATGGACATTTGGGTTGCTT